TCACGTCAGCCCCCTAATTGGACACAAGGACCTTCCTCTGTGGGACCTTGTCGCGCTCCACGCAAGCTCACAAGGCCTTCAAACGACGCCCCGTCTAGCTTGGCAGTCGGAGTCCGCTCCGCTCCCGCCGAGCCGGTGCTAAATATCCCGCTTGTAATGAGACAGGCAGGTATGGCGATTGGATAACACGGCTTGACACATGCTACTAGGCCGCTGCCAACTGGTTACAACCCACTTGGCTGTGGCGATGACTTTTTTTTTTTTATAAATGCCTGTTCAGTCCGCTCTCGTGGCAGCAGTTCATCGCCTCCACTTCTATAGTAATAATATTGGAAATGTAATTATGCCCCCCACCACCCCATACCGGCGGTGCATCTGTTTACATGCCTTCCTGAACGCCTTTGATTGAGGCATATCTTTGCAGTAGGCCCCACCCCATCACTGGGCGGCATCCGATGGCGGTTCCGAACCCAACCCTTGCAGGACAGGAAATGAAACGGAAACGCCGCATCTGATCAGCTGCCGAATCTGGGACTTCAAAGGGTTGGGCGAGGGTGGAGAGGAGTCCGAAGGATAGGCCTTGATTTACAGAAGAGCGCAGGGCTCCATCAGATTAAAAAAAAAAAAAAAACTGGAGCAGCATCCAAGAGCGCATAAAGTTTAAGTGTGGAGCGGGCTTAATTTGAGTTGTCCGGAGTATTTAGCGCTATACTGGAACAATCTCTGACTTCCTTCAGTGAAACCATACCAATAAGACGTTTCCCCCCAGTATTCTTAATACCACACCCAACAATGACTTGAACTGTAAAAAAAATAAAATAAAATAAAAATAGAACTAAAGACCCCGTCCTCGACGTCTACGCCCCCCCCCCCCCCCCCCCCCCCCCCCCCCCCCCCCCCCCCCCCCTCCCCCCCCCCCCCCCCCCGCTTTTCCATCCTCCACCGGCCCGACATTTCCCGATCCGCCACCTCTATCGAATGAAGCCCGCGTGACCCCTTTGTCCTTACGTTGATGAATGACTGCCTCATACCCATTTTGTCAGATTTTGGTGCAGTGGAGTCGATGGCGTCACCTTGACGAGTAAAGTTTGTGATCCATCAGGCCCTTCAAGGCTGTCTGGGCTCAACTAAGGCCCTGGCAAGAGCAGCTCGCTGCATGGGGGCATCTGCTCCAGCCAAAATCCTTCAACCAAGTGCCGCCGCCAGCCTGTGAGGTCGAACGAATCGCGCCTCCTATTATTGCCGCTTTACAGTGAGAAGGGGAGGAGAGAGGGTAAAAAAAAAAACAAAACACTTGACTTGTACTAATAGCCGAGAAGCCATGCTGGTCACCAAAGGTCTGAAGACGAAGCACCCTGTCAGTGCCCAGCTTGGGAAATTAGCAAATAATGTTCCCTTCCCCCTGACAAATGTGTGACAGCTCGCCTTCGCCAATCATCCTCCGCTAACGTCATGATGCATGTCCTGCGGATCCCCCACTGGAGGATACAAGCGAAGTTTACTGACCCTCAATTTGCCCGTGACAAATGGGGTCCTGGTAAATGTGCGTTTTCTAGGGCGCGGAAGGGGGTTCATTTTAAGCAGTCCTGCTTATGTGGATGTCACTGATTAGGATAAATAGAGGCCGAGTGTGTTAGGACTGCCTGCGGAACCCTATTACCGCCGGGCTTGCATTGTTGCCCCTGGAGGGGGGGGGCTTTTGTGAAAACTTGGCCGTGATAGAAAACCAAAAGCTCTGATGCAATTAGGAGATGAAATTGGAAACATTGTACAGTCGGGTTTTTATTTATGATTTCCTCATTGATACAGTGCAGTAACTGCTCCGTAAAAAGGTTACGACGCTGCAAATGAGCTCGAAAATGTTGTTTTAAAAAACAAAAGAGGGAAGCGAATGGGGGGCGGGGGGGGGGGCTCTCGATCACAGCAGGCTGCTCTCTTTGCGGGGCTTGATAGAGCATAATAAAGTATCGACTGGAGGTACCGCTCGGACTTTCTCCTTTTGATTTTCTCCAACCTTGCTGACAGTCACTTCTACCGATGCTGTCCTGACCAATGGATAACCAATACATGGATTAGACAAGAGGACAAGCTGGCAATGTCCAAAGGGACGGGAAAAGGGGGATCGACTGTAAATTAGCCCGCAGGACTTTTCCTCTCAAAACAAACGAGGAGATACGAGCTCCTCCGAGATGTCACAAACTGCGACCCGGTGAACTTTTATGCCTTTTTGTCTGTTTTGTCTCGTTACCGTTGAAAAAACGTCCAAGAGGAAATGCCAGCAGGAACATTCGACACTGCGGGGTGCTCTCTTTCGGAGAATGGATTGTGAGTTTTGGAAGCGGTTTCGGGGTAATAACCCGAGCGAGGACGTGCCCCTCTGCTATTCCAGTTGACTCCGGGTAATTTGCGGTAATTTCTTTCAATCGGGTGACTTACATTTCCGCAATTAGGGAGGCGGCGCAGAAAGAGCCAACTTGGAAATCCAAAGTATGAAAAAAAGGCGGCGGCGCCAAAGCCGCGGCGTTGAAGCCGTTGCGATCGACACCTTCAGTATGCGCAATCTCCCCCTGCGCGACGGCTCATTTTCTACTTTATAGCGAGTCCGTACATCACCGAAGACACGTAGTAGCCTCCGCCCCTTCGTCAAAAGCCCATCTGCACTTTTAATGCGCCAGCTCAACAATTAGCGCAGTCTGTTAAAAAAAAAAAAAAAAAAAAAAAAAACAAAAAACCCCAACAAGTGGTTCC